AATAAAAATTGATAAAAGTTAAATATGTCAAATTCACGTGATTCCTGTATTACTCTTATTCCTATTTTTTCCTCTATACCAAATATTCATACTTCCCCCTTGCCCTTTCTTTCTCGCCTACTTCGGATGTTTAACTCTTATTTCCTTCCTCCTTTCGGTAGACACCCTTCATTTCCTATGATGAGGTGAAGTTGAAGACAGATGAAAAGATTTTTTTATTTTTTAGTCTTGACTTTTTTGTTTTCTTATTTTTTCAGGGATAAAATTAGTATCTCAAAAAAAAAATATGGCAAATAATGTACAAGACGAAAGGTTTAGCGGTTCTTTCAAGTGTTGAGCCACTGTTGTCGGTCAATTTAATCTACTTAAAATTTGGAGGGGGCAAATTGCAGCATTTAAAACTACATGGAACTGATTGCAATGAGGGATATAGTTGGAGGGGGCAGATTATAATTAACCCCAAAAAAAAAGTTAAAAAACATGTTTGGACATGGGGTTCAATTCATTGTTTAGAATATGTAGGGGAGTGAATTGAACCGTGTGTCCAAACAGGTTTGGCATGGAACGTGGCTCTGTTTAAGCTACAAACAACCAAGCAACATAGCTCTTCTGTTTTCCCGTTACTTACTTTCAATCACCTCTCTCTCTCTCTCTCTCTCTCTCTCTCTCTCTCATGCACACACACGCAGAGTTTCTCTTCGCTTTGTAACTTCTTTTATGGCGTTGGGTGCTACTTTACACAACTTTCCCCAATTCCAAGCTTCATTACCTCCCAGTTTCAAATTCAAAACTTGCAGCAGAAAAAGGACCGTTATTTTAGCGCGAAATTCCAACGGTAGCGAGCCCTCCTCCTCCAATGGTTATCCCTCTGCTACTACTTCACAAAAGAAACCATTTCCAGGTCTCTCTCTCTCTGTCTCTCTCTCTCACACACACACACACTCTTTTGTTTGCATTTCTATACTTTCATTATTTTCTTGTTTTCTTTCAAAAATAATGGATATAGTTGTTCCATTTGAAGGTGGTTTGAGAGTTTGTAATAAAATAATTTGCCTCTGTTATAGCATAATCTTATAGTATCTCAAATTAACTTGACAAAGTCATGTATTAACTGCTACATAAATCCTGTTGTGTCATTATTATCTGCTAGGACATAAGGATACATTTTGAATTGTTGAATATAAATAATCTGAGATTTATAGTGGCGGTAAACAGACACTTGAAGGTTTTCAAGATCACAACAATGCAGTGTTTCTTTCAAATTTTGGATAGTCAAATCTGTGTTTTTCAAATGTATGTAGGAGTGGTGTGTTGAATTCTGGCTCCAGTAATTTAATCTTACTTCAACAGTTGAATTTGTTTCGTAAAATTGAAGTAAAGAAATTCACTCTAACATGGAATCACCATTAGAAATTTAACAATTACAGATACCACCTTCCCTAAAAAATTTCTTAATGTGGAGGATACTTATATAAACATTTAATACGGCTATGGAGTATTGTGCAGGCAAGTCAGAGGCCGATGTTGTTGTTATTGGGAGTGGTATTGGTGGGCTATGTTGTGCAGGACTTCTTGCTAGATACCAGCAAGATGTTTTAGTGTTAGAGAGCCATGATTTACCTGGCGGTGCTGCTCACTCATTTGAGATCAAAGGCTTCAAGTTCGACTCCGGCCCATCTTTATTTTCAGGATTCCAATCAAGGGGTCCTCAAGCGAATCCTCTAGGACAAGTAATTTACTCTTTCCACCTTTATGGTAACTCAATGCATAAATTTGGTCTCATCTTAGTTGTTTTGTTGCTTAGTATTTGTATTTATCATACTCAAATCGTCTTATAGGACCCTAATCCTCTGTACTGGTTCTCTTTAGTTTCACCTGTAATACCAATTCATTCATATATGTGCTCCAGCTACTTAATAACTTTCAATGAATAAGGACATTGGCTAAGTTTTTGTCTTTAGTTAACTAATTACTATGTCTATGAACTGATGTAGAATGAATTGAGTGGGGGTAACACTGGGAGGAAAACATACCATAAATTTCTCTTTTCTTGGCATGAATTCGACCAAGATGGTGCAAGTTGCAACTAGTCAGATATCCTGAAATTTATTGGTAGATCCATATGTGATTAACAAGAAATTGCCAAATTTTCCTGGCTTTCCAGGTTTTGGACGCATTGGGTGAGTCAATTGCATGTACAAATTATGACTCGTGGATGGTTTACCTACCTGAAGGCGAATTCTTATCACGCATTGGACCAACTGAATTTTTCAAGGTGGATTTTTGCTTTGCTCTCATGTATTTTCCTTCAGCAGTGAATTTTTATTCCCATATCTTCACATGGATTTCCCTGAAAGTTTTATCACCCTTTTGGTGGGCACGGAAGCAGTTGACAATTACTCCACAGAAACACTCTTTTAGTATCCATAACAATAGTAATGTGATATATCATTACAATGCAAATGAAATTTGGCCAGGAAACTTGAAGTGATATCGTAATAGAATTTCATGCATATTAGAACGGTGTTAGCACCTCTAAAACTGGACACATTTAACCTTCTTGAATTAATGTACTATCGCAATAGAATTTCTCTGGTTCTATTACTAGGGCCCTTAATTTATGCATATGCTTAATTGACTTCTTATCATTCTTCAGGACCTTGAGAAGTATGCAAGTCCGGATGCTGCACTAGAATGGAAAAAGCTTCTTGTGAGTTTCATGATGTTTGTTTCTTTTTTCTGTGCATAACCATCATTTCAAATTTCGATGCTACACTAAGGAATTAGGTTTCAAAAAAAACATTTTTAAGCCCTTTTGCTTGCTGAGAAATTCCCCCTTCTTCAAAAAGTTGTGCTAGCTTTTACTAAACTAATAAACAAGCCAAACGTTTTCCTCCCCCTGTAAGAGGTGGTCAGTTTTGTGAATCCACAAAAATCTCAGTCTGTTTACGAGGAGACTGATTTTTGAAATAGCAAAATCTAAAAGAATCACAAAATACTTGGAAAATTTGTCTGTTAATTGCCCAATACCAATAGACTTGGAAAACTTATGGGAATCCTTGATAGTTTATGTGATTTGCAAATGCTGTATCCCACATGCTCTATAGTTGCCTCTTTGTCTCTCATACTAAAAAAACGCATTTCGTCTACAGGATGCAATTCTTCCATTGTCAGCAGCTGCAATGGCTCTGCCTCCTTTATCCATCCGAGGAGATTGGGGTGTTATTTCCACTGCTGCTGCTAGATATGCCCCATCTCTCTTGAAATCTTTTTCTGAAATGGGACCTCAGGGAGCTCTTGGTGCTACAAAGCTTCTCAGACCCTTTTCAGAAATCATTGACTCGTTGGAGTTAAAAGATCCCTTTATAAGGAATTGGGTGGATCTTCTATCTTTCTTGCTCGCGGGGGTGAAATCTAATGGTATACTCTCAGCGGAGATGGTAACTATTTTATTAAGTTCTCTAGATATTCTTAGCATCTAGTTCTGTGAAAGCTTTCCTTAGGTTTGTGAGTGAAGCCAGTCATGTAGCAAATGATTTAATTCTCTCATATGCTTTAAAAAGCAAAAGAAGAAACGAAAAATAATTATTACTTTTCTGCTCTTTCTACTTGGCATTTCAACATATGTTTCTTTTTTCTCTTTCTTTTATGCTTTAAATTTGCAAAAACTTTCTCGGTGAATTTCTGGAAATATGTTGATGACATTAAATATGCTGTAGATCCTTATGATCAAATTCTGTTGTACATGATTGGAATCATTCATCAGTAAACCCTAACCACCTAATTGTCTTTAAGGGANTTTCTCGGTGAATTTCTGGAAATATGTTGATGACATTAAATATGCTGTAGATCCTTATGATCAAATTCTGTTATACATGATTGGAATCATTCATCAGTAAACCCTAACCACCTAATTGTCTTTAAGGGAAAATTGAACATATAAATAACCATATATCATTTGAAGCACCTAGATACTAATTAACCTCAGTATGTGCAGGTTCTTGAGTGTGAAACACTTGAATTTGCAGAGCATGCTTCTTTATTTAGGGTTGGATCAAAACCAATGCACTGAGTACGCTTGAAGTATGGTAGAATACTATAGGCACCTTCATTTTACAACGCAAATAGTTAACTCTTGGGTTAGTGCAAATTAAGTTTTGTGATAGTCCGACAAATTGACATTAGTTTACTGAAACACCAACTAAGCTTGTATATCTTCTATGAACAACATCACTCTTTTATTTGCCTCTTTTTAACATATATCTATTACCACTTATATGCAATTTGCTTATGGTGAACCCTTATAGTGAGACTCTGCTTGTGCTTCTTACCTGCATAACATTCTACCTTTATTCTCTCGTCTTTTCAGGTTTACATGTTGGCAGAATGGTACAAGCCAGGTTGCACTCTAGAGTATCCTCTTCATGGAAGTGGTGCAGTTGTTGATGCTCTTGTCCGTGGAATGCAGAAGTTTGGTGGAAGGATATCTCTGGGGAGTCATGTTGAAAACATTGTTGTTGAGAATGGTCGGGCTATAGGAGTGAAGCTAAAAAGTGGGCAAGTGAGTAATTCATAAGCAATAAACAAAGACAAATGTTTATATGTATTGAGTTACTTGTTTTTTTTTTTTTTTTTTTTTTGCTAACTGAAAGAAAAAATATGTGAGATTCAGTTTGTGCGTGCTAAGAAGGCTGTAGTCAGTAACGCATCTATGTGGGACACTTTGAAGCTAATACCTAAGGAAGTCATCCCAAATTCATACAAGGACAAGATTAAAACGACTCCACAGTGTGAATCATTCATGCATCTTCATTTGGGTTTTGATGCAGAGGTGAGCCATTGCAACAACTCATTAGTTAATTGCTTATTTTAAATTTTGTGCTTTTGTTCACTGATTATATGAGGTGCTTTTATCAAATGCATTTATAAGAACTTCTAATCTAAAGAGGACCTTCCACATGTGTGTTGAATTTCTCCGTATACCCATCTCAATGAAATCATGGCCCAAATGTTTAATGCACATGCTGATATGCCATTTTGCCATTGAACTATTTGGTTGCATGTTCCATTATATTGTATGGCATCAAGTGTTTTATCATCACATAAGGCAATGTTCTTTAGCTTGTCCTGTATCACTTTTGCATCTTCATCTAAAATTGTTCTGTTCTTTCCTTATTGGTGCATTAATTTGTCTTTTATGCATAATATCAAGTCATTTTGGTCAATTTTTATTTTTATTTTTATTTTTTCATTTTGTTGTTGATTGGTATATTTTTATCATATGTTTTCTTATGCTTATCCTTCTTCACATTCTAATGTTAGCCTTAATTATTAATGGTTATACTGGTTTTAATTTGCTCAACTTTTTGTGTTGTCAACCACTGGTTTTATTGCCTTATGACTTTTTAGTCCAATTTGATGGATATGCATTGTTCATATGAACTTTTAGAAGCTCATATCCACTTCATCCATCAGCTCCAGTTTCATGCAACCTCCTCTTCAATTTATCTCTCTTCTGGATGGTTTAAAATGAGATGATGAAAGTGTTTGTTACGGTTTCACAATTTTTAAACTCTTCTCAAAGTGTTAGGAAAAAATATTGTAATTGGCGAATTCCGTGAGGTCACTATTTATCTTATATCTCAACTAAATCCATGATCAAGAGGCTGTTGAAGATTGAAGACCGAAGCATGATATGATGAAAAAGTTTAAGCTACAAAGCAATACCTTGAAGTAGTTGCCCTAGTTTGGTTTAATTTAGGTTGGAAAATTGGATTTAGAGTGTGAGTATTTAATCCGTTCATGACTCGTGTGATTTTTGTGTAAAATATTTTTGAAGTTTTAATTTTTGAAAACAAAGTTTTGAAATGAGTCTTTGGATGGAGGCTTTTTAGGTACATCTTCAGGTGGTTTAAAGTCGCAATATCGGCTATCGACTCAAAGGGCTCTAAGACACATTGGTCGCTTCATGGTATCACACGTTACGACCTAAAAAAAAGGTTAAATGTGACTAGAAGTTGAATTATATCGACCGATTTGATGACGATAATCCAGTGACTCAGGATTAACTTGGAGACAATTCAGANTCAGGTCATATCGCAACGTCGTAGAATTATATCGACCGATTCAATGACGATAATCCAGTGACTCAGGATTAACTTGGAGACAATTCAGATGACACGGCCNTGAATTATATCGACCGATTTGATGACGATAATCCAGTGACTCAGGATTAACTTGGAGACAATTCAGATGACACGGCCGAGTCATACAAGACTTAGAGTTTATACATAGTGTGTTACGATAACTCGAACGGATCTAAGTCAAATACTACTCGGCTGATACTTTGAACCATGCCTTTGGTATTTAAAGAGTTTGACAGGCCGAAGGGCAGCAGTTCTGTACGTGATCATAGTATGCCACGTCGTCTCGTCNTGAGTCAAATACTACTCGGCTGATACTTTGAACCATGCCTTTGGTATTTAAAGAGTTTTACAGGCCGAAGGGCAGCAGTTCTGTACGTGATCATAGTATGCCACGTCGTCTCGTCTCCGCTCCATCGAAGAGTACTTATGCACTATATTCCGATTCACGGACAAGGGAGATAAAGTTGGGGTGGGGTCTACAATGTGATACTAAAGTATGACCTGGAGAGATATACTAAAGTATGACCTGGAGAGATACGTGCTAACTATGGGTAGGAAGCAAGAACCTTATGTGAATAATTTTGGGGGGTTATACAGCATTGATTTTTCAAGAAAACTAGTGGATAGCGCTCTCTAACGTTCTCAGGACTTGGGTAATTGTTCAAGGCTTGAAAAGAGCATTCTAGAGGCTAGCACTCGCTGCAACTCTCCAGCAATCCAAGATCCAAGTTAGGGGCTGCAAAATAGAATTCTAGTAGGCAGCACCCTCCAACGCTCGATTGACAAAATTTGGGTTGTGTGATTGCTATCTTTTATGTACTTTTAATTTTTTATTCCCTCTTTATGCTTAAGTGAATCCGGCTTGCGTTGTTGACTGTTCAATGTGCATAAATTTTGGTGAATTTGTGAAAGGCAGGGGTGGAGTTAGAGTCTTTCTTAGTGGGGTCAATATAAAATTTATTTATAACTTAAAATTATATGATTAACATTACTTTCAATAATATTTTTTTATAATTATAGTTACAAAAAAAAAAGGTCAACTAGATAGCAACACAAATAATATGTGACATTTTTTGTATAATGTACTCCTATCAATTTTCAAACTCATTATTTAAAACAACCTTAATAGGATAATTTAAAAAAAAAATTAAATCTATCACAAGTCTTTCAACCAAAATTATATATAGCGACAATTGAATCTATCATAATTCATTACCAAATTATTTAATTTCAATTAATCGGAACAATTGGACACAAACTAAAATAGGCAATTTTCAAAAAAAGTAACCCAATTAAATATAACAAAATTCAATTAATTTCAGTTCCACAAATTAAATATCCTAAAAGACTGGACTGACTAAATCTGTAATTTATCAATGCATGACTGCAACTGCATATCAATAAACCTATTTTGCATAATTGAACTTTTTTACATCTCCCTCCTCCCACAATTTCAAATTATATTTCAAACAAATCAATAAAAAAATTGATGGAATAGTCATCGTTCAGTTCAGGCCCCCAAATAATGGAATTCAATGGTCTACTGCGAAGAAAAAGATGAATAGGTAGGAATAATAGATACCCTACTACTGTGCTAAAAATTTTTAAAAAAATATTACTAATCTATTCGTTTATGCATTACCTCTCATGGCTATATTATGATGGAATGAGAATTGCTAAGGAAGAATGAGACGAGCGAGACTGAAGAACTTCTCACTGCAGGTTCACAGCCCGAAAAGAGGAACAAACGGCTAAAAGAAAAAGTAGGGACCTGTTTTTTAAACCCAACTCTACAGTGTTTAAAAGAACCCCAGGTTTTATCAAAATTCCAAAACTTCCATTAAGCCTTTTAAAATCTTTTCAGTGGGGGCAATAGCTTCAAATTTCAAATATTCTACCTACACCTTGAAAGTTTTCAGATTTGCAGTGGGGGGACAGCTACCCCTACTGCCTCCACTGTAAATTCACCCCTGGTGGAATGGTGGAAGGGAATTGAAGAGATAAGGTTGATGAATTGTGTTGCATCAATTTAACTTATTACACACATTCACTAATTAGGTCAAATGTCTTGCTCACATAGGGTTTAATTTGATTAATTGCATAATTAATTGTGATTGTGTGAGATAGGTTTTATTTGAGCATAATTTTGCATTTGAGTGCATAAGACCTATTCACTCCACACCCCCCCCCTGCAGTTAAGTCACCCAGAAAGATTAAGATTTTTTAGGAATTTTAAGATTAAGAAATTGTAGCATTAGGTTCGCTGTCAACTTTTTAAATCTGTTGTTAACATGGCTTAAGATTTTTCTAGCTATCTCATAGGATATTTCTCAAAGCTGATTGTATTAACATCGTATTGCAACTATTTTCTGCTGTGAGGCTTTGCATGTAGAGACACATACTTGTGATAATAATGATTCAATTGGTGATGGCGAACAATATATTTGAGTCTCTTTTTTCTGAAAACATATTTTTTTACTCATTCATATGCGATACATTACACATAAATAGGTAACTTTTTAGAGAAACTGAAATGACTTTGTGGAAAGTAGTGTGTTAAAATGGCAATTTAAATAAATCATTGTTGTTATGTGTGGAATATAATGGTAATATTAAACCAATATGCTCCTTTGGATCTTTTTTGGCTGTGCTATGAAACCTTTTCAGGTAACCTTATAGTCTGTTTCATCCATGACCTGTCAGATACTATCATGTAATTTTCTGTATGCCTTCATTATTTGGTAACTTTGTAATTCAGTTTCAGGCCCTGTCATTTTCGATGTTATCTTCTTATTATCTGGACAAACATCTATCTGTATGTCTTGATTATTGATTAGGGTATACGTGAGGACCTCAGAATTCATCATATAATTGTGAATGATTGGGAGAGAGGGGTCGATGCTGATCAGAATGTTGTTTTGATATCCGTACCAAGTGTACTTAGTCCAGATCTCGCACCCCCTGGTAAACATGTGCTACATGCTTATACGCCAGGGACTGAACCATTCAAACTTTGGGAAGGGCTTGATCGTAGAAGCAGTGAATACAAACAGCTCAAAGCTGAACGATCCGAGGTACAGTTGCAGGAATTTTTTTTGTTGGCTTTTTCTTACGTCATATTCATGAATGATTTTACAACCCAGAAACTTGAAATTCTACGTTAGACAAAGTGCATACCAAAAACCTTGCTAAGTAATAATTTCAGATAATTAGTACATTGTGAGGTTGAAAAATTGAGACTGCTTGTTCAGAGTCAGTGAAATTTCAGTTGATGGAAGGCATTGACTCTGAATGCCTCCGAGAATGAGAGGTTGAGTTAGTTGACATGTTTTTTGTTGATCAAACTTTCCTTTGATGTCAAATTTTCGTAATCACTGTGTACTATCGTGAAGTTTAAGATTGACACCTTTTCCCTGTTTTCTCCTCCTTTTCTTCTTTCTTCCACTGCATTGTTTTTTGGGGGGTGGGGAGTCCAAAAAATCATTTTGTCTTGATTTTGTATGTGTAAATGGAAGTCTTTAAAGCCCAACTTTCTGTGTGTCACATGATACACAGCAGTTTCCCTTCAACTTAAATTACTAGATAATTATATGTCAACCTGATGATCTACAAACTACTGTGTAGATTTTGTATTTAAGATAGGGTGATCAAACGCTGCATGGATGGAGGTAGATATTAGTCTTATATTAGTAAATTCTAAAGCTTCTAATTATTGCTGGAACACTTCTTCCTTTATATTGCCTTTTAGTTGCCTGTTGACTTCTCAAGCCTTTTTCTCTTTTGAAATTTTAAACGATAGACCATTTTATCATCTCCATGTTCTCTCAATGTAGTTTGTAGACTTCTGGTCTAATTATTTTTCTTCAATAAAGCATTCCTTAAGAGTTCCTTGATAATATAGGTAATGTGGAGGGCTGTGGAACGTGTGCTTGGTCCAAATTTTAATCGCGAGAAGTGTGAAGTGAAGTTGATTGGAACTCCATTGACACATCAAAGGTTTCTTCGAAGGAACCGAGGAACTTATGGGCCAGCTATACAAGCTGGTAAAGGCACTTTCCCTGGACATTCTACACCAATCTCACAGCTTTATTGCTGTGGAGATTCAACTTTTCCTGGCATTGGAGTCCCTGCAGTTGCTGCTAGTGGTGCCATTGTTGCAAATTCTCTAGTTTCTGTATCTCAACACTCGCAGCTTCTTGAGGCTGTTGGAATATGAGAATATGACAGCGATGGTGAGTTCGTTTTAATGTGTTTTTGAATATTCGGATCAACTAGTCATATCTTCATTGATGTTGGTCATTGCATTAAATATACTTTTGAGAAACTAAGTGTTCTTGTCTTGTAGGTTTTTAAGAGTAGCATCTTTTTGTTTTTCTCAAAATTTTGATAGGGTTATTTTTTCAGGAAACTGAATGACTTGCTCAGTCCTTTTTCTTCCTTTGGTAGGCCATCCGTCAACTCTACCCGTACTTCTCTTTTTTTATTATTTGCAGTGCTTCTCCCCCCCTACTCAACGTGGGGCCCCAAAAGAACTTCCCCAACTTTACATCCTTTTTCAAACAAAGGGTGGATGACGTTAGGTATTGTACAGCGCACAAAGGGGCATTCAGATTGTAAACATGAACCTTATTACCAAGATTAATGGATGAAAGTGTTGCAATGCTGTTTATATAGAATTTTCAGAGCAAACAGAAATGTAAATTAATTTTTTATTCTGTCCCTTCTGACTCCTAAATATTGTTTGAGCAAGCTGATCATTTTTTACTCAGAATGAGATTACATATTTGAATGTATGGGAAGTGGCAATAATATGACATTTCACGAGAATGTATATGGGACAGTAATTGGACAAGATTGTGATTCAATGTGCTCATTTGCATGATATGGTGATATTAAGGACAATCTACTCATTTGCACATCTATGATTTATCTTTGATAATGCTGGAGTCAATTCAATGTACTCGTTTACAAGGCATCTAGAATTCATTTAATTTAATAATGTATGAGTAAAATACTAAGTATGCATTCTTTCACCTCTCTTTAAGTTTGTATGGTTATGTCGTTACTGCCTCTTTAAACGTATCAAATTAAATCAGTGTTTACTCTCTCTCTCTCTCTCTCTCTCATGTGTGTGTGTTTCGGGCATGTGGGCGGGATAAGGATTTTGTGGGTGGAGGGGGTGTTGATCAGCCTTTTACTCACCAAATATTCTGGGTTTCTTTTTTGGNAGGATTTTGTGGGTGGAGGGGGTGTTGATCAGCCTTTTACTCACCAAATATTCTGGGTTTCTTTTTTGGTTTTAGGGCTTCTGGGTGGATGGTTGTGAGCATTCATTTGTGATTCTACACACCTGGACGATCAAAGTGGCGTCATGGGAATGGTTTAAGTCTATTTTCATTTTCACCATCTGTTCGGAAGCATAAGTTGTCAGTGTGTCTGCCTGCTGCAAGATTATCTGTTGATGGAATTCCCAAGGGCAGAATGGGGGTGTTTTGTTGATGAACTAAATACTTATGTTTTGTACTAACAGCTCAAGCACTCATGGTAGATAATTGCTAGCTAACACAATACCAGAGCAAGAGGTCTTCTCTGATAATGGCAAAACATTTACATGCTTGGCCCCCTTATGAAGGGGACTTTGGCTACATGTGAAGGGGCGTGTTGATTATATCAGTGACACCACTGACAGCATGAGCTTGATCTCGTTAGTCAGCCGTCCAAAGTCTCAAAAGAATACGTATTTCACTGTTAAACTATAGATAACCATAAACTTTGATATTTATAATCTGTGTAACTCGGTTGAANAGTTTTCTTATGCATAAAGTGACAATTTATATAGATAACCATAAACTTTGATATTTATAATCTGTGTAACTCGGTTGAATTTTAAAGATAACCGTAGACTTTGATATTTATAGTCTGTGTAACTCTATGATGTATGATAAATGGAACAGATCATTGATACTGAGGTGCATAACATGCAAGGACTATGATGATCTGGTTATACCTTTTGATGGATCTTTTACCCGAATTACAAATTAAATAAGAATGGTTGAAAATTATAGCTATAGGTGCCAGCTGCTGCCCAAGTATGTACATTACCTGCAACTAGCGTAACTTGTTCATTGATGCGTATTGGTTACATAGTACTTCGACCTATTGCTCTGCATCCCCCAACCCACAACCGTTACATTGCTGTTTAATCTATATTTTTTGAATATCCTACTATGTGTGCATACTTGATTTTCCTGGACTTGCAAAATTCCCATCACTACATCAGTAAGACCATTAGTTTGGTACTAAAGCCAAACCTAAGAATGACTGATTGTCATGTGTTTTGATATAGGGATTTTGGAAGTCAAATAGATACTGTCTGTACCTCTCTCTTACATCATTAGTATATGTGCCTCTTAAACACATGCTTTTAAGTTATTTTGATACTTTGAGATTTTTTTTTTTGTGAACCCGTGGTGTCGAAAATATTAGGACATTTATAAATTCAAGTATCTATAGCATTATTGCTTCAATTCAGAACTTTCTTGTTGTCAAACCTTAGTTGTAGCCTTTAGACTAGAGGATTCACAGAAACAATGTTATGAGCAGAAACCAGAATAGAAGTGAGAAAGCATATCCAAATGTAAACAGTTTTGATGGAATTTGATTTCTGAGTCTATGAGTGGGACTTTTAGTGGCACTTACGTATGATTGGAACCTAAAAATCTTGTTGATGTTGAATAGATGACTAGTAATTCTTCTTTTCTGGTATTTTAGGGTTAACAGTTTTGTCATCTTTTTCTGGATCAATTATTGTTGAAGACTATTGTATTTGATTATAGTTGTTGTTTGTGATTCTGATGTCAGAAGTGAGAGTTCAAATCATTTTTTATTCTGGGTAAAACCATTTCTTCAAGACCATATATTTGAAGTTGATTTTTAGGGTAGACTTGTGCTCTCTCTCTCTCTCTCTCTCTCTCTCTCTCACACACACATAAATAAATAGTCATAAACTGTGTCCGGAGACACGATTAAATATAATATTCGAAAATCTAAAAAATTGATCTCAATATATTAAATTAAAAATTTTCTTTCCTTCATTTCATTAATTAAATCATTTAAAATTTATTTTTAACCATTATTTTCTTAAAAAATATTTAGAAAATTTTCTCAAAATATGTAAATTGATAAAATTTTATTAACATGTGGATACTATTATGTATGGATAATGTCTGATATAAAAATTAAGTTAAACTATAAATTAATTAAATATTAAATTATTGAACATGTAATAAAAATAGGTGATGCAATATTTTTAGAGAAAAATATATTAAGGATAAAAATTCAAATTATTAGGTGTTTTAGTGTATAGATATAATATCGATAATATAAAACATGGTAGGTTATAATAAGCTCATCGGACAATCTCAAATAGACTCAACCGTCAACCACCAACATAATTCTCAAAATCATTCACATTACATCGTGTCTCCAGGCATGAGTTACTCTTAGTATACATTTTTTTTTAGTATACATATATTAAGGATATATAGATAAATAACATACATTTTAACATACATAATTAATTTTTTATCCAATTTTTTATTTTCCTTTCCTACAAAATAAGATATTTTATTTTTAAAAAAATGCTACATAACCCCAATAAAATTCAAAAGTTAAAACTCAAACGTATCATCCTTCAGGTGAGTGTGGGAATAAATGGTTCTTACTGAAAAAATTGACAGAACTCACTCATCCAAGGATAATATGCATTTGGATCGTAACTTTTTGAATTTTATTTGAATTTTGTAGCATTACTCTTTTATTATTCTCTCTAACTTTCTATCATTTCAACTTTATATTTTTCATCATACCCAACAAAACAAAAGTATATATTGAAATTTCAAATTGGCTTGATTGATTGTAGTTGGTCGGGTGTGAATTTCAGTCGAGCTCAATCACATAATGGTCCCCCCCCCACCCCATCATTTGTTTTTTTTTAATAAAAAAAAAATTATCACCAAAAATAATTTTTTATCATATGAGTGAAAAAAAACTTTTTGGGGTGTCACAGTCTTATCCTCAACCCAATAGATTGAACCCACCAGAGAGTTGCTTGGCTAAGCTTTCTTTTTTTTGAAAAAGGAGTGAGAAGGGATAACGGAGAGAAAAAAAGGGTTCTTGTTTTGAAAACAAAGTGATAGAAAAGTCAACAATCTTGATGGTCCAAGATCGTCCAATTATATTGACGTTGACCGTTGATAATGTAATGTGGGACCCATCTTAAGCTAGGCATGGTTCAAAATAAACTGTCTAAATGCCACGTGTCAGAANGAAAAATTGTCACTGCAATTTTTCCTTTTTATTTATTTTTTTGGATAAGTAAATGACAAAAAATATCCATCATGATTTCTAATTGTATACTCTATCCTCCATTGTTTTTTAAAATTTTAAGAGATATACCTTTATCTTTATGCCTCTAGCTAGATATGCCAACAGATCGAATTTGTGACAGTCTGAATTTGAATAAAAAAATTTATTATTGAATCCGATCTATTTATTCGACGAATATAAAAATATTGGTTTATATTAGAATTCGCTTATAATTGAACATTTTTTTTTTTTGGCAAAACTAAAAAATTTATTTATTCACAAAAGAGCAATTACAAGAACCAAAGGGAGAGGCCAAAGACCCTTTCCATAACAGAATTTGCAAACAAAACCAAAATAAAAACAAACAACTCCCATCAGACTAAAGCAGCAAGTCCAAGAGCAAGAGCTTCCAACATTCCAGCAAAATACCTCCACAGTTCCCTCCTTCACAGTCCCTTGCCTTCATCAAATTTCAAACAAATCAACAATAGAATTCATAGGCCTACTTGTAAGTGAATTGGATTTTAATTTGAATTTGAATTCAATTATTGGATAGATTGACAAAGTTTCACTGATTTATCTGTACTACTTATAAATGTTAACATCTGCAAAAAAAATTTAATTTCTTATTTTATCCCTAATTATTATAAAAAAAAAAATAATTATATTCACTTATATACTTCTTTTTTTTTTAACACTTATTTAACTTCAACTTATTTTGGATTGTTTTATAAAGACTTCTAAATTCTTTTGAACTCATTTATAAGTAATATAGTTATATACAATTATCAATCTATATCTATATTTATATGAAGAAATAAAATCCAATTATACAATAATATTATATTA